AGGCTCCACGCTGTGAATGGAGGTTCCTTACCAGGGGATTGGGTGACCCACCTGTGGTTATGGAGGACTGTTGAGTAGGGCTTTGATGGTGTGCTAGTATAGATTGTTGGCAATATGATGGGGTTTAGTGGGCAGTGTTAACATCCCTTTTACTGGCTGGAGCTCGTTAGCGGTTCTAGCAAAATCGCTATTTGCTCATCAGCCCAGCCAAATGGCATTGTTTTGTTTCTCCTTTTAAGATAAGCTGACTTTTCCATATCTATTTTAGGAAGACCAGTCTAGTTGAGATCAGTAGGAATCGAGAATCACTCGCATAAATATTTGATATTGACCTGTAATGCAGCACAGGAGGCTTTGCTTAAAAGCCACGGTTTCAGCCAGCTCAGGGCCAAAGGCATTACCGTCCTCAATTTCGGTACAATTATAGACTAAGTGGCACTGCTTTTAAACTTGGCATCTTCTGCGCCAATGCCTGCGCAGCCGAGGACTCAGCTAACACTCCCTGTGTGTTTGTGTTCTAGACCACGTTTTCCTGTAGCTGTGAGGACCAGTACGTGGGCGCTTTCTGCGAAGAGTTCGATGCTTGCCAGAGGAACATCTGCCAGAACAACGGGAGCTGTATTGATGCTCCAGAAAAGCATGAGGGCCGCCACTTCACCTGCGTCTGTCCGGCAGGTATGCTTTAGATCAGCACTTCTCAACCTGTGGGTCGTGACCCCTTTGGGGGTCAAATGACCCTTTCACAGGGGTCGCCCGATTCATAACAGGAACAAAATTAGAGTTATGAAGTAGCAACTAAAATAATTTTATGGAAAAAAATAATTTTACGGTTGGGGAGGTCACCACAACATGAGGAACTGTATTAAAGGGTCACGGCATTAGGAAGGTTGAGAACCCCTGCTTTAGATCCTTAGTAGTTGTATATCTCCTTGCCTGTAGAACAGGCACTCATACATGCAGCAATCCTTTACGGAGCCCTAAGGGTGTAGTAGGCTAAGCATTGGGCTGCTAGCCATAAGGTTGGTGGTTCAAACCCACAAGTGGCTCTATGGGTGACAGATGAGACAGTGAAATCCATAAAGATGTCCAGGCTCTCAAACCCTGTGGAGCAGTTGTCCTCTTCCCTATAGGGATGCTAGGAGTTGAAATCGAATCGATAGCAGTTAAATAATATGATGTCCAAAGCAGTTGCAGTAGATGGTGACTTCAAGGTCTCATTTGATTCCATCAGTCTGTGTATGCCCTCCTGGGGTAGCATGTACAGTTAAACCCTTAGCTTGTTTACTGAGAGGTTGGAGGTTCAAGCCCTTCCAGAGGCCCCTCAGAAGAAAGGTATGGTGATCTACTTTTGAAAAATTGGCCATTGAAAGCTATACGGAGCACATTTCTATTCTGACTTATGGGGGCTCTTCAGGAGTGAGAATTGACTAGATGGTAAATACTTGGTATGTAACGAGAGATTAGCTGATGGAAGTTAGCATGGGGGTGGGGTGGGGCAAAGACATCATGCCCACTGGTTTTCCTTTTGACATTAGAATATTTTCAGATAGAGAGTTGGCTGTCTCAAAAACAGTATTGCAGATGTGTGTGGATGCTGGCCTGGTGGCTGGGCTGGCTGATCAGGTTAAGTAATTGAAGAGAGACCTAAGTTAAGGATTGGCTAAAAGTTCTTTGAGGGCCCATCCCTGCAGTATGAGTTCTTTTCCTTTCCTTTATAAATGTTCAGTAGCTCAAGTTCTTGGGAGCTAACCTTCGCACGAACCTGCTCTCTTTTGTTGTTGTCGATCATCTATGCAGCAACACATGGACTAGTGACCTTGATTGACTATAATCAGTCTATATCTGGGCCCTGCAAATGGATTTTGGGCTTCCACTATCATCCATTGCTTTCTGCAAACCAGGTGCTCACATTTTAATCTCTGATATCATTCCCTCCTTCAGATTTGGATTTTATTATTTGTGATCATTGGATTATACAGGCTGGTGTGCTTTTTCCCTGTGGACTTACTTGATGCCCCACTAAGAGGGCTGCTTGTTTGAAGATAAGCCTTAAGATCCCAGGCGCTGTTCTTTCTGATAGCTGGGCATCATCTAGAATCTAGATTCTAGATTGTTCATCACGTTTAATCATATCTTAACCTCTTCATGAGGGCAAGCATCAAGTAGGGCTGTGTTAAGGAACACATCGTTCTTATATTGGGGCTAGAATTAAGTGAGAATCCAGAATCCATTCACATTCCTATATCTATGGTTTATATATATGTCTCTGGTTCACTTTAGAGCATCATTATAATTTTATATTCGAGAACATTATCAATCATCTCCCTGGGACATAAGGTAATTCTATTGATATTGTTATTAATTAACCAATGATGCAGAATTCAAAACACTATTGAGAAAAGGAAAGTATACAAGTATAGGTCAGCTATGAACCATAATACATGAATTGTTGACTTGTATAAACTAAATCCTTAAGTGACAAGATCTACACAAAAATGGGGGTTAATGATAGAGCAAAACTTCCAATAATATTCATTCACATTGGCAGAACCATGCCTACCAGGTTAATACATGTCATAATAAAACAAGGAGGGCATTACAATAGAAAGTATGTGGTACTAATGGGCCACTCTTCATTGGATACTCTCAAGGCAAGAAATCCCAATCAAAGTCCAGTACCACCAGTTCTATAACCTTGGTTTAACAGTTATTTGCTTCTTCTCACACTAGGGAGTTTCAGCCTTAAGTTTAAGGGCTACAGGTGAGTTTGAGGTAAAGCCCAGTTCTCTTAGGGGGGTTTCCACAGGGGTCCTCTGGTGTGGCCTATGAAGGATGCTGGGTATCTCAAAAGAAAAGAATCCAAAGCTCCAGTGGTCAATAGCACACGGCCTGGGTCATTAAGGTCTGGATACACATTAGGTCAATAATGTCCAAATAGAAACTGAGTTCCAAGCATATTCTCCTCTTGGGTTCTATATAAGTATTGTTATTATTTCCCAGTGGGAGGTTGCTCCTCCCCATTTACCCACGAATAGAAACCTACCTCCCCACAAACAGAAACACATATCGGAGACACACATGCCGTCTCCACCCATCTGGACTTGAATTCCCAGTAAAGTTCGCTTTTTACTCTGGTAGGAGTATCTGATGGTTTGGGTGAGCTTGAAAGATCACCTTATCCAAACTGCACCAATGAAGAGAGGCTATTGATGAGCCCTGTTGGTGCCGTGGTCGGAGTCGGGCTGCTAACTGCAAGGTCAGTGGTTTGAAAGCGCCAGCCGACCTGGGGAAGAAGACTGAGCTTTCTACTTCTGTAAAGAGTTACTGTCTCAGAGACTTATGAGTCAGCATTGACTCAATGGCAGTTAGTTTATTTTTTGGTACAAAAAGATCTCAGAAGATTCACAGCTAACAGATGATTTCAGGGCGGCCGTTTCAGATCGCCCTGAAGCCTGCGTTCTCCTTCAGAACTCCGCTTTCAAGTCAGTGCCGACTTACAGGATGCAGTGGAACAGCCCTGTGGGGTTCGGAGACTCTCACTCTTCACGGGAGTAGAAAGCCTCATCTTTCTCTTGTGGAGTGGCTGGCGGTTTCCTACAGCTGACCTTACCGTTAGCAGCCTAACTTGTAGCCCGTGACAACATCAGGGCTCTTTTTTCATTTCATAGGTAGTCATAAATGGCCATTTTCTTGGTCAACCAGAATGCAGGACGTTGTCGCTTCTGCTTTGCCTTGTGTTCATGGGCAGCTATCAACAGCATTAATGGTTTTTAGACTCCGTTTCCCAGGGTTCTAACTAGTATTCAAGGCAGAACGCTGACTTGTGGTTGAAGCAGTGCCTCTGTTTGCAGTGAAGAGTTTTGCAAAACACAGGGTTTGGGGTGCCGTGATTCTGAACTGCCATGGTTGTTAGCTGTAAAAGGCAAGTCGTTCGAGGAATGGCTGGGAGATTTTAGCTTCAGGTGACTGTGGCCTGGGTGGGCAGGTACCTGTGGATCATCTATTCATGGGGATGGTTCGTGGAGCTTTAGGGAGTACCATGGTTTTAAAAACGTGCTTCTTGTTTGATTCAGGTTATACTGGGGAGCTGTGCCAATCCAAGATTGACTATTGCATCATGGAACCATGCAGAAATGGAGCGACCTGTGTTTCCGAGCTCAGTGGATTCACCTGCCAGTGTCTGGAAGGTAAAGATTGCTACCTGAGGGATACTGATCCTTGTCCAGATTGAATGACGAATGGATTTGATTACACTTTTAATTCCTGAAAACTATGCAAGAAGTTTAAATTCTGAGCACCCAGTTTGCAGAAGGCTATGGATGATAGTGAAAGCCTAAAATCCATTTGCAGGGCCCCCACTCAGATGAAGCCTCCATTGAGTTCTCTCAGACCATTGACGGGGATCTGAATCGTCTTACCTGCAGATAGTGCATTGAAAAGTGGATTAGTGCACATATAGTTAGGTTAAAATTGAACATATTATCATTTGTTTTCCCTTCTGATCCACTTTTAATTGGTCTAGTTTCTATTGTCTTCTGTTTCCACTTGGATTGAGTTTTTCTGTGTTCTGTTTTGTGGTGGTTTTTTGTATGATTTTCTTTAGATGAGATCCAGGGTAGGTAACCCACAGAGACAGTAACTAGATTAATAGTTCCTTAAGGTAAGGGAGGCAGGGGGTTAATGGAGAGCTAATAATAATGGGGACAAGGATGACGAAAAATTGACTGTGGTGATGAGTGTACTCTCTTTTATTATAATTTTTATTTTTTGCACCCTTTAAAATATATTTAAACTATTGAATTTGCGATATGTGAATGACATATCAATAAAACTTTAAAAAAAATTTAAACTCTATACAAGAGAACTTCCCCCAAAGAAAGCAAATTAAAATGCTGAGAGAGAACTTCCTATCTTGCTCCATTCACACACACACACACACACACACACACACACACACACACGGAAGATGGTCATTACTTTATTATGGTGCAGTGGTTAAAGCACTGAGATATTAACTCAAAGGCTGTTGGTTCAAACCCACCAGCTGCTCGCGGGAGAAAGATGAGACCAACTGATTCCATAAAGATTTAGAACCTCAGAGACCCCCTGGGGCAGTTTTCCTCTGTCCTGGTTAGTCCCTGTAGGTTGTGGAGTCCACTCAAAGGCAATGAAAAATATGTTTGACTTAGAGATTCACTAAGGACTTTCTGTTATTTTACTTACACCGTGAAAATTATTAACTACCAGACAGTGGGCTCTTTCAAGAAATTGTGATACTTCACTTACCTATTTAACTTATGAGCCCTGGTCACTTGGTGTGTTATGTACAGGGTAGCTAACTGCAAGCAGTTCAAACCCACCAGTCAGCCGCTTCTCAGGAGAAAGATGAGGCTGTCTGCTCCCATCTTGGTTTTGAAGGCCCTAGAGAGCAGTCCTGCTCTGTCCTGGAGGGTTACCATTTATCCAAATCAACCCGGTGACAGCGGAGTTGATTCATTTTGGAGATATTTTCTCTAACTTAACATACTTATATGTATTTATATTGGTTACATTGTCAGGATTTTAAGCATCAGTTCACATTTGAAAACAAAAAATCCTGATCTGTTTTTGTTTTAAATCAATTTTACAATGTCTTAGAACATCCATGTCCCCCAGCAAGCCAAATCTTTAGGGCTACTTGTATTTTTAAAAATAAACAGAAAATACATATAACGTCCTCCCTGGGGGATGGACAACGGAAAAGTGGGAGACATCAGGCAGTATAAGATATGATAAAATAATAATAATTTATAAATTATCAAGGATTCATGGGGGGGTGAGCGGGGAGGGAGGGGGAAAATGAGGAGCTGAGGCCAGGGGCTTAGGTGGAAAGCAAATATTTTGAGAATGATGAGAGCAACGAATGTACAGATGTACTTTATATAATTGATGTATGTATGGATTGTGATAAGAGTAGTATGAGCCCCTAATAAAACAATTTAAAAAAAACAGAAAAAAGTTACCTATGAGAATAATTTCATTGGAAGAAGCAGGTGGGCAATGACCTCCACGGAGCCAGTGCCCCCCGAAACGGGTTTGTGCTTGCAAGAGGTTTCATCCCCATTTGGCCTTCCAGGGCTGTCATGGAAGGGGTTACCTTAAAGCCGCCATGTTGGTAGGATAGCACGGTGTTAGGGTTCTCTTATTTTAGGGACAGCGTGTCAGCTCCTGACCCACAGAAATGGCACTGACGATTTTGTAGGCTTGTCACTGTCTCTGCAGAGATGAAACGCGCAGTCGCAGTGTGAAGGAAGACTCTCCCAAGTCTAAGTCACCCTCGATAGCTTTTGACTGGGAGGTTGGAGGGGCCAGGGGTCCAGGATGGGGCACCGATAAGAGCCCTCGTGTCGTGGGTATGCCGGAGTCAGCACCTGGGGTCAGCAGCCCCTTTTCTGCCTCCTTGGTAACGTTGTGTTGATTACATTGGCCCCATTTCCCTGGGCGATCCTTTGAGTCAGCTAATCCACCTTACTGAGCTGCTTTTCCTCCAGCAACTCCCGACCCCTGACCTTCCAGTGTGCTTTGCGCTCTGTGGCTTGTGGGAGCAGGAGGAGGCTCGTAAATATGTGTTAGATCAGCAATAAAAATCACCACAGCTATCATTCAGCATGTCTCTTAATGTCACTTCTTGTTTCAAATTTTTTTAAATGAAATCCTTAATGAGATGGATTTCTGTAATAAGTAAAGTCATCTTCTCAGAGATCACAAAGGTTGTATAGGACCTGGTGCTATTTTGCTCTATTGGACCTAAGATAGCCATGCATCAGGACCACCGTCATGGCAACTGACAACAGTAAGTCTACTAACGCATTTGATTTTCTCAACAACCCTATGAGGCAGGTGCTAGTAACATTTTTGTTTGACGGATCAGGAAAATTGAATCGTAAAATGTTAAGTAGCTTGTTGGAGACCACATGGCTGGATGTTTACCTAGATAGACTGGCTCTTGACCACTTTTCTGCCAGTTCATTGTGCTGTGGTGGCTTTTGTGTTGCTTTGATGCTGGAACCTAAGCCATAAGTATTTCAAATACCAGCAGAGTCATCCCTGGTAGACCGTTTTCAGTGGGGCTGACAGACTAGGAAACATGGCCTGACAAACAACGGGCATTAAAATTGGCCATTGAAAGCCTTAGGAACAGTAGAGGGACATTGTCTGATGTAGTCCTGGAATATAAGCCACTCAGGCTGGAAGACACGAACTAATGGCTAGGGAAGGGCTGCTGTCACAAAACAGAGATAAACTTCGTGAGGTTGGTGGAGAGAAGTTTGGGGGACATCCATTTGCTGATGTGGCTTCATTAAACGAAGAATTTACGAAGAGATAGCTGCAAACATTCATCAGATAATCAGAATGTGGAATGTACACAGTATGAATCTATGAAAATCAAAAGTGGTTGAAATGAAATGGATCACTTCAAGCTCAGTATCCTGGGCACTAGTGAACTGAAATGGACTGCTCTTGGTTGTGTTGAATGGAACAATCAAGGGCTTCTATGCTGGCAATGACCAATTCAAGAGGAGCGGTGCCACAGTCACTGTCAAGAAGAACATTTCAAGGTCTTTTCTGGAGTACAGTGCTGTTGGTGGTAAGATAATATCTACATGCTTACAAGGAAGACCAGTTAAGATGACATGTATTTAAATTTTGCACCAATCACTAATGCCAAAGATGGAGACATTGAAGCTGTTTACCAACTTGTGCAGTTGAAATTGATCAAACATGCAAGCATGATGCATTAGTGATAACTGGTGATTATTAGAATGTAAGAGTTGGAAACAAAGAAGGATCATTCATTGGAAACTATGGCATTGGTGATAGAAATAATGCTAGAAAGCATATGATAATATTTTGTAAAACCAAAAAATTATTCATTGTAAATACCTTTTTCAACAACATAAATAGTGACTGTACACATGGATCTTGGCCGAGGAGCACATAGGATTCAATTGATTACATTTATGGAAAGACAATTGAGAAGCTCAATGTTATCAGTCAGGACAAGGCCAAGGATTGACTTTGAAACAGACCATCAATTGCTCAAATGCAAGTAAAATGCTCAGTAAAATTAAAACAAATCCATGAGAGCCAAGTACATCCTTAAGCACACCCCCCTTGATTTTAGAGGCATCTCAAGCATAGATTTGACACATTACATGCTAATGACCAAAGTCCCTTTGAGTTGTGGGAATAAATTAAGGACATTATATATAGAAAGCAAAACATCAGTAGAAAGAAAGAAAGGAAAGACCAAAGTGGATGTCAGAAGAGACTCTGAAACTTGCTCTTGAACACAGAGTAATTACGATGAATGGGAAAAAGCGGATGAAGTAGAAGAGTCTAACAGAAGATTTCAGAGTGGCTCCAGGAGATAAAGTATTATAAATAAAATGTGCAAAGACTCGGAGAAAGAAAATCAGAGGGGAAGAACACATTTGACATTTCTGAAGCTGAAAGAACTAAAGAAGAAATTCAAGCCCCTTCAAGTTGCAATATTGCAGGGTTCTGTGAGGCGGAATAAACTCAAAACTATTGACTAACCTAGGTAGCGTCAAACAAAGGTGGAAACAATAGCAGTCACTGTAGCAAAAAGACTTGCTTAGTGTTCAACAATCCCAGGAATAGTGTATGACCAAGAACCAGGAGGACTGAAAGGAGGGAGTTTAAGCTTCACTGGATAAAAAGAAGGTTCGAGGAATTAACAGAATACTAATTTAGATACTTCAACAAGTAGATGCAATCCTGGAAATGCTCCCTTGTGTAAGATAAAATTTTGCAAGATAGGTATCTGACCAATGGTTTGAAATCCATCCACATCAGTATCCATTCCAAGACAAGGTAACTTAATAGAATGTGAAAATTATCAAACTATATCATTAGCATCACATACAAGACAATTTTTGCTGAAGGTAATTGGAAAGCAGCGATGCATTTACAGGGTGCTGTCAGAAACTCAAGCTAAATTGAGACGAGGATGTGCCATTAGGGATATCACTGCTGAGGTCTCATGAATCTTGGCTGAAAACAGAGAAGACCGGAAAAAACACGTTTCCTTTTATTTTATTGAATCTAAGGTGTGTGTCAGGACTGTATACCTTTACTAATCTTACTCAATCTATAGTTGAGTCGATCATGTGGAAGCTGGACT